AAAGAGTGTCGGTGGGAAGGAAATTGGCCGGTTGGTTTCGTTGATCATGATCATGAGCTAAAGTAGTATTATTAGCGGTTTGATTTAGGAAGTTTTCACGGGAAACTACGGAGTAAGAGAAGTGAATTCGAAGCAAGGGATAGACGGCGGAGGCCATGGAGAGAAGGAGAAGGAAGAGGAAGAAGAGGGCTAAGAAGTGGCAAGGTTGAGATTTGATGAGTTGCCTAGATTCTAAGAGTACGTTGGTGGAGTTTGGTACTGGTTGTTCGGGTGGTGGTGAAGTTTCCATTAACGTTTCTGCCATGGCTGATGGAGGGAGGTGATATTGGAGGAAGAGGAGATAAAACAGAGAGGAAGTGAAATCGAAAACTGAGAGTTTGCAGGGTTTGGTTAGCTAGATGTGGTGGAGCTTTAACTGTGGTTTGGTTGGAGTTACAAGTGAGCAAAGCAAAACTTAAAATTATATTTGTTTGACGACTTGACCCCGTCAGTCAAGTCTTTAATACATAAACAAAATCATGTTTAAGCTATTTCTATTTTCTTTTATTTTTTTACAACAATATATACTGTTCTAAACGTTATTTTACAAAAATCGGTTATCAAAGTAGGTTACACCTAAGACATATATACTAGTTAATCCACGCCCCACTTCTATGCGTCGTCCATCAATATTGCGACATTAGCTAATATTCACACACATATATAATTTGCATGCTAAATCTAAACCCCACCCCGCCTTATCTCATACAATTTAATTTTGGTGATCGTGCGCTTGCAATTAATAAAGCTAAGATTTTAGAGCCATATCATATTTTATGTATACATATGTTATTGTTATTTCTATTATTAGCAAGTATACGTGCCTGAATTAATTTTGGAATCATTAATTGTAATAGGATGTGGTGGTTTTATTGTCTTAATTCTTTGAAATTTCATGTGTATAGAGATTATATTGGCTTACTTTTATATAGATTCACTTCTTTTTTTTTTTTTTTTTTTTTTTTTTTTTTTTTTTTTTTGGTGGTGGTTGTAGTTTGTTTTTCTCTTCTTCAATAGTATAAGCTTTAATTGAGGTGATATTCATTCATTAATAATCCTCAGGTATAATTACGTTCTACAACTTAACAAAGAGGTTTTAGGTTTTTAGTTCTACTTCCACAAATATTCAAGAAACATCTCAAGGGTCACATTTGTGAATGGCGTCCCTTTTGAAACATATCACAATTTTCAAATATTTGCATTTACCACTAGGGGTGTTGATGGACTTACGTAACTAAACAAACAATAGTCACTGCGAGGAAAAAGTAGTAGTTTTCAGATAGAGTTCGTGACTCACTAAACCTCATTATAATAAGTACTTAAGTTTAATTTAGACACATAATCATCATAATTAAACAACTCCATCATTAGCAACTTTCTCATGATGAATATCAGCGGGCAATCTGACGTAGCCAAACTTCTCTCCATCATGAATAGATCTGCAATATACGTACATCACTGTCTTCACAACCATTTCAAATAGCATAAACAGCGATTTGAAACTCGAAGGGACCATAATTTTCACAATCAATACCAATAAGAACAAGCACTTCCGTTTATGATCTAGATCAGTGTTACGTGAAAACTCACAAGTATACGAATCGCACAAATAATAAAGTGTACAAAAGTATGAATATCGATCTCACGATGATTGTGTTTAGCTTTCGTTAAATATCAATATTGATAGCTTCTAGGATTGTTTTTATATATTTTTATAACTAAAAGAAAATAAAAATGCAAGCAATTGTAAATAATCGAACTAAGACTTCCTAATTTCTCCTTGATTGCAAAATGCTAAAGCTGTGCTAAAGGAATGCTACAGCATTCTGTACTAGTTAACCAAACTCAAATTTGTGCATAAAGTTCTTCCGAATTAATTATGACTATAATTCCTCAATCCAATTTCATCATATTCCTATGTGAATATAGTTCATGGAATTCCAATTTCAAGTTCGGGTTTAGTAGGTTATACAAGGTAAACGATATATTCCTATACCTTCTACAAATCAATATATTCCTATATTGAACATGCATCATCCATGTAAAGTCCAACCTAAATTAATTTTTCCAAATCAATCTAAGTCTAGTTCTACATTTGATTTCCATCAAAAATAAAAATTAAGCAAGTAAATACACATGAATGAGCAAGCACAAAAATACCATAAACAATCCAAAAGTAAAAACTAAAACATCACAATCTTAGTTCCACTAGGAGCTTAGCTCACAAAATTAACTAAATAACATCAAGTGTTTCATCATTTTTTAGAAATTACAAAAATAAAGAGAATAAAGATGGGAAAGAAATCACCAAATGGAGGTGTCACGAACTCCAAAATCTCTTCCCAAAATCTTCATCTTCCTCCTTCTTGAAGCTCCAAAATGCCATCTTTAACGGTGTTTACAAAATAAAATTATCTAAATCTAAAACTAAAAATAACTCCTAAAAATAAAATCCTACAACTCTAAAAATATATATATATATTTTTTTTTTCTTTTCTTCATTCCTCTCTTCCCCTCTTGCTCTCTGTGGCTTCTCGTATGAGGGCTGGAAGAAGGGAGCGAGATGGCTTCCCTCTGTCTCTTGCGGCTGCCCAAAAGATGGGATATTAATCCCTCCTATTCCTTTGCATGCGTGAAGCAAGAGAGAGGCACAAGGGTTTCTGGACATGTGGCGAGTTAGGAGTGGTGAAGGAGCTAGTGGGATCCATGTGGTAGAAGTGGAGAGACTGAGAGTGAGGGTGCACGCAGTATTGGTGGAGCGCGAAGCAGAAAATTTAGCTCCTTTTTCTTTGTATTTTGATCCCATTACATTTTAAACTTTTCACTTAAACTCTACTGTTACACAAAATTAAATTACATAAAATAAACTAAAAAATAAAATTAATTCTAAATAAAATAAAATGAAATAAAAATAAAGTAAAAATATTAAAAATTAAATAAATTCTGAAGAACAACATATTTTTTAATCTAAATAACTCCATTCATGGAGTTATCAATCAGTTACTAGTAATGAAGAATATTTAGAAAAAAAAAAAAAAAAAAAAAAAAAAAGCAGGACAAGACCACGGACAAAAACAGGACAAGACTTCTCCTTCCCTTGATCAAAGTTTGACTCCACTTCAAGGCTTCAAACCCCGAAGTTGATTCTGTCACCACAACTACAGATGCCAGAGCCCAATTGACCTGCAGATATATCGCCACTGCGGCGAAAAGAATCATCATCACGCCGATCGCGGTGAAATAAGATGAAGAGGCATCAATAGGAAACCATAACAACAAAGCTATAATGATCATCAAAACGAGCGAGACTGCAAAGATGATACTAATCGCGAAAATGATTGCGTCGACGAGAAGAGTGGTGGCCAAGAGCGGGAAGAAGGAAGTGGAGAGGGACTTGATAATGGATTTGGGCTTGATGGGTTGGCGGTGGAGGCCGTGGAAAGCGGTGTAGGTGATTGATCCGACGGTGCATGCTAACAGGACTAAGTGGAAGAGGAAGAATGATAGGATAAGTAAAAGTGCGTTGATGAGAACGATATTGGCCGGTTGGTTTCGTTGATCATGATCAGGAACTAAATTAGTACTATTAGTAGTTTGATTTAGGAAGTTGTTTTGGGAAACTACGGAGTAAGAGAAGTGAACTCGAAGCAAGGGATAGACAGTGGAGGCCAGGATGGATAAGAAGTGGCAAGGTTGAGATTTGATCAGTTGCCTTGATTCGGAGAGTACGTTGGTGAAGTTTAGTACTGGTTGTTGGGGTTGTGGTGAAGTTGTTATTGATGTTTCAGCCATGGCTGATGGTGGGAGATGATATTTGGATGAAGAGAAGAGATTAGACAGAGAGGAAGTGAAAATGTGGTGGAGCTTTAGCTGTGGTTTGGTTGGACTTTAAGGAGCAATGCATAACTTAAAGACTACGGTGATCTCCCGTGCAAGAAGAGAATTATATGTTAGATGACTTGACACAGTCAGTGAAGTCGTTCCTAAACGTCTTAGCAATGTTACACGACACTAAACACCACTATTTAATAAAAAAAAAATGAGTTCCGCAATGCTGCTTAACACCTAATAATGCTGCTTAACACCCTTGAGCATTTCTCTAAAAGTCCCCATGCCATGTATGTATATCCGTCAGACTTAAGGTGGGGTCCACATGGCATGGGATCCATTTTTTTGTGGCTGATTGGAATTATCCCGATCGAAAACAAAAGGATTTTCATTCTAGACAAACGAAAAATAAAAAACAAAAATCATTTTTTAATCTCTTTTTAAAAAGAAAAAAACAAAGAAAAAAGTTGGCCATAAAGTTGGTGCGAGAAATATTAACATCACTCATTTTATCACTTAATTTCTCACTCTCTTACTTATTATTCTGCTACATGTCATTTCACTTCCCAAAAAAAATAAAGTATAATTATAAACCATTATTCAACCAATTATGCCACATGTTAATATTATAAAATTCTATTGTTGTGTAGGAAAACGTGCGTCGACAAGTCGGATGACGACCATACAACACGTGGCCTTATACTGGTCACGTCAGGTAGCTGTCGGCGCCTAGAACTTGTGCCCCTCCCCCTTATGATATGAAAGGGTCGATCATCTATGACCGTCGACCTTACATACGGTCGAGACCTATATGATCCGTGATAGGGTCGACAGAGAGAGAGGCTACATCTTGCTTAATACGGTATGAGCGCCGAGGGCAGAACGTAGATGATTAGGCCCACGCCCCAAGAAAGACCTGATATGACAAGTTGGAAATCTTGAAGTTACGTCTAGGTTTAGAGAAAGTCAGTGGCACAGGAAATGATTATGAACTCCTAAACCGCCTAAAACGGACGGTTGAAGATTACAGGGGATCTGCAGAGTCGTAATAAGTGACAGATTGGGTGAATGAACAGTCCAAAAGGCGCTGGCAGGCTACATTCTAGTCAAACGAGATGGTATGCCACTCGAGTGGATGGACCACTTGGAAGGAACCGTCAAAAGAGCCCTGGAAGCAGCCCAAATGTTCATATGTACCTGATAAGCTATAAAAGGGGCTAAACCCCAGAAGAAAGGAGAGGTTGGTCGAATGTAGTCAAGAGAGAACAAAAAGAATAATACAATTTACAGTGGATGTAGCTCTTAATTAACAGAGTGAACCACTCAAAACTGGTGGGTGTTTATTCCTATTCAAGCACTATTTTTACACTGCTCATCATATGTTCTTCACAAAACATCCACTCAAACTCTAATACATAGTTAAATTACAAGTTTTAAATTGGTAACCCAACAAGTCACCGCAGGGTAATCCGGTACGGTCTTGTTGATGAAAATTGACCGTCAACATCCATCATAATATATTACTCACTTTTTTATTTTTATTGTATCTATTTTCCTTTTTTTTGAAATGTTTTTTTTATCTTTTTTTTCCTTCTTTAAATACCGTTGGACTTCGAACCGATTTTTAAAAGAATATGCATAACGTACAATAAATGTTAAAAATATAAGCTTTATACATATACATATAAAATATATTATCCAACTATAATATATATATAAGTATATTGCGTTATATTACTATAATTATACACTATATATATAGCATAATGATCCTAACAGAACATATATTTTTCTAAGCGGGTTTTAAGTTCTATTGGGATCTAAAAAGCACGATAAAATCCATTAAAAGAAAAAACGCACGAGAAAAAGAAAAAAAAAAGTAACAGCATGTGTATATAATATGTAAAGAAAAGGTCTTTTCTAAATTCTAAGATTGCCCAAAGATTTTTTTTTCTAAGGTCTTTTTCAAAATTGCCTAACGATTTACAAACAATGTTGATGAATGTTTCTAGAAAAAAAGTAGGGACCTTCTGCCGGAGTTCTATTGGGATCTAATAAGCATGATAAAATCCATAAAAAGAAAAAACGCACGAGAAAAATAAAAATAAAAAGTAACGACATGTGTATTTAATGTGTAAAGAAAAGGTCTTTTCTAAGATTGCCCAAAGATTTTTTTCTTAAGGTGTTTTCTAAAATTGCCTAACGATTTACAAACAATGTTGATGAATGTTTCTACAAAAAAAGTAGGAACCTTCTGTATTCTGTAGTACCGTAACGTACTGATAGGTTAAGTTTTTTATCTTTTAGATTTACATAAAATTACGTAAAAATTAAAAAATAAATAAATTTAACGGTTAAAAAAATTTAAACTATCAGTACGTTAAGCATACCAGAGAATCTCCTAAAAAAGTAACCAACTATATTTAAAGAGGAAAAATCAAAAAAGAAAAAAAAAACATTCAACATATTTATAAAATAATACAAAAGTAAGAAATATTATAATGGAATTTTGTTATACTAGAAAGCGGCAAAGTTGTAGTAAGAAGGCAAAACAATGGTCTATAATTATCCTTTATATTTACTGGGAAGTGAAATAACATGCGGCAGAAGAAGAAATAAGATAACGATAAATCCGTTCATTTTACCGATTTGAATTTTGTTACAGTAAAAAGTTTTTAGAAATAATCATATTTAACTTTTTTACTACAATAAAAAACTCTTATATAAAGTCACATCTAAACTCAAATTAAAAATTCGAATCAGCGAACTAAACAAGTTATTAAACTAGCCTTTCTCAGTTGGTGCATATTCATTTTTTTTAACGACAGGTGCAAACGTTTTTACAAAAAATTGGACCTGGAAGTAGCTTACGTACGTACACTGGCCATATGGAATTTCTCTGCGTCCTCGGCCGTAGCAACATGTCAATTAGTCAAATATTAGACACACATACATTATAATACATACCAAATCTAAACTATTTCACCTTACCTATCACGACCTTGGCAATTAATAAAGCTAAAATTTTAGAACCATATTATTTATATAGTATCATCTATACATGTATATTAATGTATTATTTTTATTTCTATTACAACCATATATACATGCATGCCCAAGGCCGTCATACCCAGAGTCAAATCTTGCGACTTCAAAAAATGATCATTATAAATATGCATAAACCTTGAAGGTTTACAAAAGTGTAATGTGTTTATTAGTATGTATTACAGGGCTCCAATTAATGAATCCATTATACTGCCATCTACTAAGAATAAGTTCTTAGTTCTACTTCCACAAATATTCAACAATATCATTATAATATTTTGGCCACATTAGTGAATTAAATCCCTTTTGAAACACATCACAATTTCGCACCCCCAAAGATGGACTTTTGAACAGAACTACCATTCAACTAATTTATTTACATTTTATCATAAACCTTTTGTATGTTATTTTATGTCGTAATTCGAACACAACTCTTATACATTTAAAAACAGTAATGCTAACGAAGAAGAAATAGTAGTAACTTTCATACAGAGGCACTATAGATCATCTTGCCTGACAATACATTTACTTACAAACCATAAAGTTTTAGACACAATTAATATAAACAACTCCACAATTGAATAATGCTAGAGACACCGACTCTAATATTAATTTTTGTGCTAACTTATGAGTTATCATTTTGCACCTACTAATAAAAGATTGATAATTCAAAACTATTTTTTGAAACTAGAATAGGTGTGGCTAGTATTTTCAATTTGAAACTAAAATTTGAGGCCATGTACGATGCACGTGGGGTAATTTTTTAGGTTCCATCCTTATATTAAATTTTAATTATTGTGTTATTGTTTATATTTTTAATAATAGAGATCTTAATTAGTTGTTAGTTAAGAATAACTTTTAAAATAATAAGAATTGCACAACGGAAAAAAATTAAGTGGAAACTCTTTTGAAAAACTATATTTAAATGGGAACATGAGAGTGGAAAAAACAATTTAACAAAAATGCATTAAAAAAAAGACTACACTATAGAAATCTTTAAAAAAATGCAAATGAGGAAATCAGCAAGAATGTATATTGGGAAAACCTGATAAAGATCATGAGGGGAGAGAAAAAACAAAAAACGACAAACAGAAGAAAAGCGAGAGAAAAAACGTAAAAAAAAACAGAATGTATAGTTCTAAAAAATGATAAAAAAATCAAAGAGTAAGAGAGAAAACAAAAATGAGAGACTAAATAAGCAAGTAAAAAAGGATGGGGGACCAAAAAAAAACAAAAGGAAAAAAGTAAAGAAAAAAACTAAAATGATAATAAGATTAAATAAGGGTGAGAGGAAAAACAAAAATAAGAAACTAAAGAGGTAAATAAAAAAGCAAGGGGACCCAAAAATGAATAAAAGGAAGAGAAATAAGAAAAACAAAAATGAGCACTAAAGGCAAAACAAAAATAAAAGACTTTAAAAGCAAGTAAAGAAGGAAGGGAAAAAACAAATGAAGAAAGAGAAGTAAAAAAAAAAAAAAAACAAAACAAAACAAAAAAAAAACAAAACAAAGAGAGCGAGAAAAGAGGTATAAAAGGGATTAAACTGATAATAAAATAAAACATAGGTATTAAAATGATAATAAGATTAAATAAGGGTGAGAGGGAAAAGAAAAATTAGAGATTAAATGAGCAAATAAGAAAACAAGACGACCTAAAAACAAATAGAAAAGAAAAGAGGGCTCAAAAGCAAAAAAAAAAAAAGGGGGACGAAACTTTTTAGAAACTGAAAATAAAATAAAATATAGGCACTAAAACGATAATAAGATTGAATAAGGATGAAAGGAAAAAGAAAAATTAGAGATTAAAAGAGCAAATAAGAAAACAAGACGACCTAAAAACAAATAGAAAAGAAAAGAGGACTCAAAAGCAAAAACAAAAGGGGATGAAAATTTTTGGAAACTGATAATAAAATAAAATAA